TACGTTTAGGCAAAGGCAAGTGGTCAAGTGGTGGAGTCCAACTTTGATGAGTCAGCTGTACCCAGTCCCAGTCTTACTTCGTACAGTCAGCAAGTACCATGAGGGACTGTGTGCACCATGGGCCCGTTGCAAAAAGGGCCAGACCAACAACTTTCAGAAGTATAAATAAAGAGGCAGCACCCAGCCATTCATTCATTCACTTCGTAAGCCATGCGGAAGCGCTGCTTCAGCGTCTTGTGCGAGGTGGTCTGCAGAGCGCCCGAAGTCAAAGTGGGCTGAGAGAAGCTAGCATAGCCATAGTTAGTAGAAGTTGAGCGGCCATAGCCGCTGTAGTGTTAGGAGTTAGCGAGTGTGCATGAGTGTGTGATGCAGTGAGTGTGTGTGGGAGTATTCAGGGTGATTCAGAGAAGTGTGTGCGAACAGGGGTGTTGGGGACAGTGTAGAAGGTTGGGATATTCAGGCGCTGATGCACCATAGCCTGTTGAAGAAAGCTTGCATCCAAACTGTGTTTTCGATTCCCATATCTCTGAGTTTTGAGTGGGCGCTGTGCGCCAGTGTGAATGGCCATATGTTTGCATGTTGCGAAGAGGAAAGAAAGCGAGTCTGATTGCAGAGGGCAACAAACAAGAACTTCACAGTCGATTTGAACTGGCAACTTACCTGTGGTTCCCCAGACCATGCCGCATCAGTCCCCAAAGCCGTCGGGCAAGTGCATGCCTGCACAACATTCAAGGAAGACACCGTTCCGGAATTAGGACTTCAGGTCACATAGAGAGTCAACAAGATGTAAGCTCCTCTGCCTTGCACATTGGGAATCCTTGCCAGTGTACGGCAACATTCAGGTTTGCAGTTCTCATGGGACTCGGTTCTAATGCTATGACACGGGTATAGCAGTAGGGACATTGACGTCAATGGCAGGATTTGGCCAGGCTAAGAGTGTAATAGCAATGAGGTGAGAATTTACAGTGAAGGATTCACCTCATAGTAGCTCATAGGCTCATACTAATTTAAGTAGAATAGAGGGGGATAGCAATGGGAAATGATTCAATGAGGCAACTATTGCAGTAGCATTTCGGCAGGTTTCTTTCAGGCCAACTAGTAGTCCTGGCTTACTCATTGCAGGCTTACTCACCTCATTCTGGATGAGAGATGGCTAACTGCTGGAGAGCCGGAGCTGTGTTCTTCATTTTAAACCACAAGTACACAGTCCCAGCCTTGCAGTCCGAAACTTGTCGCCACAAGAAAACGAGGCCAAAACGTCAAATGCTGGGCGCTCCGTTGATAACTTCAATTGCCGACCGTCTTTTCGTTTCGCACCTCCGAATTTGAGCTGTCAGACCCGCACCCAGGTGCCCATGTACAGGTGGGCAAAAGAGGACGGTGAAGAGGAGGAGGAGAAGGAGGAGAAGTATTGCATACGACAAGGTGGCGGATTAGAGATTAGTATAACCAGATAGAGCTAACGAGGACAGGCGCAACCAAGAGCAGACTCTAGCACCTCACCACTCCGTGCAGCTGTTCAGGTCACCCCCCTTACAACATACAATATGGCTGTGGACAGAGGTCAACGAGTATCACTACCATCACAGAACCAGATTCCCATTCGGCAATCCTTTGTGGAGTCAAAGGTGGCCAAAATGTGAAAGAGGGAGTGATAGGTTCAATCCAGAGGGTTTGTAAATCAGCAGTGCGCTGCAGGCTAGTCGAAATGACAGTTTGGCCAATCTTTCCTTTCTTCCTCTCCCCCTTTCCCCTTTCCTCTTTTCCCTCTTCCCATCTGCATCCTTCTCCTTTTTTTTCTCCTCTTCCCTCTCTCCCTCCCTTTTCTTCTTCTTTTTTCTCCTCCTTACTTTCTCTGTTATTTTCCCTCCTCCTCCCCTTCTCCCTCTTCTCCCTTCCCTTCTTCCTCTTCCTTTTGTAGACAGGTTTTTGAAAAAACTGCCCTCAGTGAAGCAATTTGGGCCGTTTATTAAAAACCTGTTTAAAGGACTACAGATAGACAGCATGTACCATGCGACGAAGCCTGGGAGGAACTCAAGCAAATGTTGCACACGGAATACCTTGCAGACTGGCATAAGGAGAGGAGACGGATCAAGACAAACCCGGAAAAGAGGCAAGAGACACACAGACAAGTTCGTGAGGGGCACACTAGAGGGAGGAAAGACAGGAACTTCAGAAGGAAGAGCAACTAAACCGAAGTGGCGATCCGCGGATTGAGGAACGACAAATGTACTCAAATAGGAGAGGCTGGGTTGGTAGACAGTATCTCAACGGGCACAAGTATCAGTCTGGCGTCAGGGTGAATCCCGTACTGGGACGCGAGAACAGGCCGGGTGGAGAGTTGGACGGTTTTGGACAAGGGTAAGATGGAAGGCAGGAGGGGAATGGCCACATGTGAGGGGGATGTTTAGTGAGTTAGCATGGCCTTCTGTGATTGTCCGATGAATCGGGTTTTGACTCTTGAGTGTGTTTAGTTGTCTAATTGTCCGTTCTGTTCGGACATAACTGAGGCAATGATGGGATGCTGGACCCAGTTTCCAGCTCAGCCAAAACTGGGTAATGGCCCCAGGTCTCTGGGTTGGTTGTGGAGGGATTCCCAGGCTCCAAGCATCTGTTATAATAAAATCCTCAAAACTTGAAGAAAAAGGGAAATCAAAAGTTTGAACTTTGAACAGAGCTGGAGCCCTCGGGCCCCTTGAGAAAAAAAAGAAAAAAGGAGTCAATAAACTGGTTATTGAGGTGGGGGTTCCTAAGATCATAATAGGCAACCAAGACTACAGTCTTACAAAGATGGGAGGCATAAAGGCCCCCAGATGTGACTTAAAGCCAGTAGGCCCTAATCTGTCGGCCACTGCCTAGTCTGGACCAGGTTGACAAAAGGGAGGCCAGGCTACGCCAGGGCAAAATGGGAAAGGATCGGGCCCTCTAACTGACCGGTAGGGCCACAGGATAGTATGGGTGTTTCCAGACTCTGGCCTCGGACCCATCCATACACTGGCCGCTGCTACATGTTGCCCACACTCAGACTCTAGCTAACTGACAGCAGGCTGGAGAAGCAGCACTGGGAATAGCGCCGGCCAGGGCAGCACCAGTCAGAGGTAGGAAACGCCAGCCATACCTGGAGAGAGAGAGAGAGAGAGAGAGAGAGAGAGAGAGAGAGAGAGAGAGAGAGAGAGAGAGAGAGAGAGAGAGAGAGAG